AAAAACTCAAATCTTAGTATTAGTTCTAGCAATTTGGTTTGTTTACATTTGTCAATTTGACACATTGCTTCATATCACTGGATGCTAATTTATGAAATTTTTTTACCTAATTTGATAAATGTAATTATTGAAGGCCATTTTGTAAATTTTTCCTCAATTTGTTGGTTGGTATAAAAACTTTTGTGAAGTTATTAACTTTACCCATATCATTCTTATATTTAAATTGAAATTTTTTTTTCATGTCTGAATTCCAACAAGTTCACCATATTGCACAAGTCTCTCTGAAACCCATATCAGGTTATCAAGCTCTGGGAACGTGCGCATGGAGGGTGTCACTGATAAGTCTTGGTTCCATAAATTCTGTCTTTTTCAGCATTCTCTCTATTGAGGAAGTTATAAATATATTTTATTTTCCTCATGTAGAAAGATCATTCTGGTGTTGTCAAGGAGCTTTAATATCCAAATTGAAATTCACTTGTGGGGGGTGAATTTCTTGGATTTTACATTTAACCTTGATCGGAGGAGATTACATACCTGCTTTTTAGACTGTCCTGGGTATGACGATAAACTATGTCCCGACAGCAAGGAGGTTTTGAGGAATGTGGAACCACCTCTTAATTGCTGGTGTTCCCAAAAAAGGTATCAGCTATGGGCAAATAGTTAATTTAAAAATAGGTTTTAATACCAGAAATACTTTGTAATAAAAAAAAAATTATTACCAGCAATAATTTTTGAAGGGAAAATTATTATCAGCATAATTAAAATTATGAAACATATACTGTTAGAGTGTAGATTTTGATCTAGTGCTAACAAAATATTACCAAGTGAGTAATTTTAAAAAAAATTTATGAAAATAAAACCATCCATGATTGTAAATTTGTTGCATTACTCAAAAATATGAGTAATTAAAAATGGTTCAAATATATATGTATACATACATACCTACCTTTTTTTTTTTTTAGCAAACTATCGCTAAGAATCCATTTCAAAATTTTGATGGCATTAAATAACCTACTGAGGTTGATATGCCATAAAACAAAACAACAACCTGCCTTAAAACCATGCAACAAATAATGTTTCTAAAGTTGGTGAGCTACAATTCCAATATTTGACAAAAGCAAAAAATCAAATATACAGCAATATTGTAAAAGTATGGTTATCCATCCAGTGTAAAGTACCAGTAAGAATACGTAAGAATATAGTCCCCACAGAAAGCATAATATAATTTGGTTTAAATGCTCCCTCCACAAAAATTAAAACAATGTTCATCCATTGCCTAAATCCTGAAGACTTTATTGTAATTTTAAGCCATCCTGTAACTCGATGAGAAAAACTTTATTTGGAGAGTGAGTGTTTGATGCAGAATGTTGTGTAGCAAGCCACTGTGCAAGTGGATGACAGATTTGAACTACCAAGAGTTCAGCACTGTCAATATATGGGACCAAAATGATAAATGTGGATGAATTTTCAAATTAAAGTATAAATTTGTGAAAAAAAGGTATTTAATTTATGCTTGGAGGAGAAATTAAGCACAACAATTATCAGAAGTGGTCCTGAAATGTAAGAAAATACATTTGTTGCATTGTCCAGCTCCGATAGCCTTCGCTGCATTCTACGATGCCGCCGAATCGATCGTGTGCCCGCGGCCACTCTACGTCGTTGCCTGAGTCTCCATCCTCCTCCAGCATCTTCCCCGATGGTTCAGGCATGTAGCTCGAAGGGAGAGCTCATCATCAGCTCCTTCTCTTCCTGGCTGGTGAAAACATGTCAGTGGGCAGCTGAGGACATGGGCTAGTACAATCAAGGATGACCTAGCAGTACTATCAAGTCTACAAGTAGTTGGTCTTCGACGATGGAATCACGATTGGCTCGCCATTTCGTGTGACCTGGCTCAGGATCAGCAAGCATGGGCAGCGATGGTCCGTGAAGCTGTACTTGCTCAGGAGGAAGCCGGTTCAACCCGACCAGGATGAAAACCGATACAAGTCAAGTCAAGCTCCCAACTAATGAATACAATGTACAGGTTTACGGACAAGCAACAGACCAGTTTGTCTTTTTTGTTTTTTTTTTTTTGTCTGAGAATTATTTCAGAGTAACATTTAGTTTCAGGCTGAAGTTATTTGTGGTCAGCTGGCCTCTCTAACACAGAGGTCATATATAATTACCACCAATATTGACTAAAAAAAAAAAAAAAAAAAAATGAAAATTCATAGCTGGTAAGAAAAAGAGACAAATGAAATAAGTATATTTTAATAAAACTGAGAAAGAAAAAAAAAAAAAAAAATGAAAATTCATAGCTGGTAAGAAAAAGAGACAAATGAAATAAGTATATTTTAATAAAACTGAGAAAAAAAAAAAAAAAAATTTTATTTTTTTCTTTCCAAAAATATTTAAAGGAATCCTAGATCCCCACTTAGATATTCATGCTATAAGAAATGGAAACAGTGGAAAGAGACTTTGGGAGGGTGGTGTGGTGTGGTTTATTGCGAAAAAAAAAAAGCATATATAATACACGCACATTTTTTTTTTTATATATTTTTGTACAATTTTTAAAAAGGAATTTTCACAAACACTCAACATTATCAGATAAATACAATTATTATTTTTTTTTTTTTTTTTTTTAAAACAACTAATGCCATATCCTCAAGCAGCCATGGGTCAAGAAATCGAGTAGCAATTTGTCCATTCCAAAAATTACAAATGGATGGAAAAAAAAAAAAAAAAAAAAAAAAAAAAAAACGGTTTTGCTATTTTTCTTTGTCAAAAAGAAAAAAAAAATCCTTGTCAAGAAAAAGGAGATTGAATGGAAATTAAATTGATTCAGTATTTAAGTTCAGTTTATTTAAAAAAAAAAAAAAAATTAAAAAAAAAAAAAATTCTTTTCTTCCATAACAGAAATAAACACCTTTTTTTTTTCCCAGCCCAAAAACAGGAATGTTTTTATTCTTAGTTGTTCATTCACTCTTGTGTCAAAAAAATTGGCCAGTGTGTAATTGTACGTTTATTTTTGACAGTATAGAGATATAAATACTTTGAATGCTACAGACTTAAGTTGTAACATATAATGCAAACCTCTTGTTATATAGGAGTTTATTTTCATATCAGGTAGAATAAAAAGAGAATATCAGTTGAGGCGAAAAAAAGAAGCTTTTCCCAAATTAAAGCATAATCATATTACGTAAGAAAAAGAATAGCCATTTTTCATTTTCTAGAATTCTTAGAATTTCTATTCTCCATCTTAGTAAACAAAGAAAGCTATACATCTTACAATACTTGGGCTGGGGCGGGGATATACAGAGTGTAGCTTTTTGACTGCAGTGTTTGCTAAAATCAAAAGTTTGTTAATTGATCTACTTTCATATGCATTGCTAAATGTTTTGCTATTTTATCTAGAAGAATTTGATTTTTGAACAAAGTCATGCCTGGCAAAAGACAAAACTTCAAAAACATCCATCAAGTATCAAATTCACTATAACTGGTTAGTCAAACCAGCATACTATCTACAATTTGAAGTTATTTATTTAACATTTGCTGGCTATCGGAGTTTGATGTTCATCCCAAAGTCAATTCTTTGCATGGAGAGCCTTGTAAATTTTATAAGTACAGGAGTAAATACTAATAAATGAAGTTTGTTTCCTAGTTGAAATTTTAACTTCTTTTAATTTTTTTTGTGTAGGATGAATTTGTAATGAGTGTTAGGTAGCAAGTATGACCTAGTGTCTTATGCTCTAACCACACCTTTATCCAGAATTCTATCCATTTAGATATACCACAGGTATTAATGCTATTCAGAATAAAGTAAAGTGACAGTTTACAATATTTTAGCTGGATTTTAAATCATTTTTCTTCAGTGATGAAAAATGTTAGCTTTCCAAAATCAGCATAAAAAAAAAAATTTCAGAACCTTTTGGTTTTCAGTCTACTGCTCTACAATTTAACTGTGTGCAATGCAGAAGCTTTAATGATTGTAAAGCTTCCTTCCTATTGTGATGTGTACACGTTCTATCCTATGCAAGGGCCAATTGCTTGGTCCATTTATTTTAAAGTAGAGAATAGAAACTAACTTTCAATAACAAGGGAAACATTCCAAAATATTTATAATTTATTAATTTTTTTGAAGATTAGCAAACATTTTGCTACAAACTTTTTTTTTTTTGGCTAATAAAAATATTAATAAGACATTGTTCAAGTTTAAGACTAATTTTCAAATTTTAGCTTGAAGCTGTTATTTCCACATTTATTAGAAAGTACTATGCTCACCATGGGCTTTCAAAATGCAAAAAGGTACAATGCAAATCAAGAAAGAAGCAACAGGTGAGGGGTCAAATTTTGGTAACACTGGCTTTAGAAACCAGAGTGATCACAATCCACTCTAATTATTACTGGAAAAAAAAAAAAAAAAAAAAAAATTATCAGATTGCAAAAAACAAAGTACATTTCTAGAAGCACAAATATTTACAAATAGGTCAAGTTTTAAAAAAATTATCTGACATTCCACACACTTATTGTGCATTTATTTTTAAAAATGTGAAACATTAAATTGTTTCAGGATTCATTTGGAAAATCTGACAAGCTTTTTTTTTTTTTTTTTTCCAAAATGTCCACAGCAAACAGAGTGGACCGAAAGTCGTGTCACCCATACATAATATAATTTTCTATTTCAGATGGCTAACATGAGCTCCTACAGTTTGAAAGAGAGGGTTAGGGTGACAATATTTTTCAGACAACCCTGTACACCAGTAATTTGTACTTAAAATAAGTCAGATAAAATAAAGATTGATGAAAAAGCTGAATTGCAAAAGGCAATTCAAATTTTTTTTTTTTAGTATCCAAGTTGAGTTTCCATCAAGGGAAAGAACATTGAGATTTTTATGCTAATCTTCAATTTTGTTCCTTTGAACTGACAAAAAATAAAACTAAAAAAATTTTTTTTATTATTTCCTCCCACCTCCATCCAGTAGATTTTGCAAAATGTATAACATTTTTATCTAGCCTTATAGCCACATCACATTGGAACATCAGTTCCCATATGATCACCTAAGTTAAGCAATGTTGAGCCTGGTCACTACTTAGATAGGTGACCGCTTGGGAATACCAGGTGTTGTAAGCATGGATGTGCAGGTGTTATAATCGATAATGACTCGGAATTCTTAACTGAAGAGCCAATTTCCAATTCTTGTTGGGTTCATTATATTTACTTACGCCCAAATGCCCTTGACAAAGGTATGAATCTATCTCTTCTCACCCCCAGCTATGGGTTAATTAGTAAGACTTGTATCACTAAGCCATTACTAGCTTAAAAAAAAAAAATTCTTACAATTTAAAAATATTTTTGGGCTTTAAATAACTTGTATTGGGTTGATAAGCCATAAAAAACAAATCAATCACATTTCTATCGGACTTTTGCTCAATGGAAATCAGTCAAGTTTGTTATTTGGGACGGATTTGTTTTTACTTTCTGTCCTTTGGAATTGAGACATTAACAAAAAAAAAAAAAAAAAAAAAAATCTTTTTTCTCTGATTTTTTTAAACAGATCTTGATAAAGTTAAAAACAAAAATGGGGAAAAAATAGATGTTTGGTTAAAATACAAAAGTAGCTTCAAGTAAATACCATTTTCACAACTAAATTTCTTTTTTCAAATATCTATTTGACAAAAAAAAATAAATAAATAAATGAATAAATAAATCACATCATTGTCAATTAGGGAGCTGCACTTGATAACATCTTTTATACAACACTGCAAAAATAGTAGTCAACCAGAAAAAGTTTTGGATATTAAAACTGTGACAAGAAAATTATAATCAAGTTTCAGGTTTATAGAAAGTTTTGGAAGAATCCAAGAATTAGACAATGAATTAATAGTGATGTCATGGCAGCAAACAAAGTTTGAAACAGATGAAGTCATAAAAAAATAAAATAAAATAAGAAACTATTCTATGTTTCATATAGGGTCCTCAGTAACATGGGGGTAGATTTTGAAAAGAAAAAAAAAAAAAAAATGAAAAACATTTAATAGTAATCTGAAAATCAGCTTTACAATCGAGTGGACCTTATGCTTCCCACAAAAAAAAAAAAATTGAAAAAGGAAACATTCAAATGTTATGCAGCCATACTGATATGGTTTTACAACAAAGTTAAAAAAAAAAAAAAAAAAAAGACATGTGCGTATGCGTGTGTGTCCAGATTTGAGTTGTTTCCTTGTCTTTCACATCTGCTGGGCATGGGAGGGGGGGGGTAGAGTTCAATGAATTATCTTCAGATTTGGAGTTTTTCATGAGGAGTAAGATATATTTATTGAATTTACTAACAAATTTAACATCTATTTAAAAAAAAAAAAAAAAAAATAGAAATAAAATTTAAAATTTCCTTTTAAAAATGCTGTGATATCATCTAATTTGAAATTCATTACATATTGGAGAGTTTTATTGTTACAGAAAGGCATTTACACAAACATATTTATCAATTATTAGAAGTGTGTATGTGTGCGCATACATTTACATATATGAAAAATCCGGTTGATTGTTTTTTTTCATCTATTAAAGATACGTTCAGCCAAGTCAATTTAAATGATTACTATTGCAGTAAAAGTTAAAATTATATAAACATATTGCTAGTTTTTTTTTTTATGGCTTATAGTTTTATACATAATTTGAAATAATTTATATTTAAAACTGGATTTAACAGTATCTGTCTATATTTCTGAGATGAGGTATTATGTACACTATTAGACAAGAGTCCGGATAATGTAAATAGTGGATTTAACAGGTTCTGGAAAGTTGCTATAATACTAAACATTGCAAAAAAAAAAAAAAAAAAAAAAAAAGACAAAGTTTATAACCTTGGGTCAGTCAGACTCATCGCAGTGAGCAACTAATGTATCAAATGTGTTGTTTTCTCTTCATGTAATCTTTTCTTTAAATTCTTTGAGGTTTATCCGATGTGACTCCTTTTATCCCAATGTGGGAAACTTAATAACAAAAGTCATAAAACAATACAAAATCAATAACTAACTAAACAAAAATACCCGGATATATATATATATATTTTATTTGTTTTAAACATTAATTTTTAATGGATACTCATATTTGAGTAGATGCTTTGCTTCTTTTTTTTTTTATTATTATTTTTTATTATTATTTTTTATTTTTTTATTATTATTATTTTTTATTTTTTTATTATTATTTTTTATTTTTTTATTATTATTGTTATTATACAGTATATTTACTTATTTATTTACCATCTACTGGCCTGAATATTTGAGAAAAATATGCACCCTTCGGTAGGATTTGAAACTACATCTCCTACAGGAAACCCTCATTAGATCTGATGTGCCTTGACCTCTTGGTCACACAGGCCCACCTGATCAAACAAAGCCTGAACAGTGCTTTTGAACAGATATCTTTCCTGATTATCAAAATCACACATTTTGCATGTATGTATATATATATATATATATATGAGGAAATATAGTTAAGGTATGCTATATTTATGGGATAAAGTGCTCAATATCAAAAGATTGAGTGTATGTAAATATAAGTGAACATTGATGTCAACACTCAGAGGTGATAGACTGTTTCATACTAAATGCAATTGTCAGGCATATATATATATATATATATATATATATATATATATATATATATATATATATATATAGGATTAATACAAATATAAAATTAGTTACTTAGCTGATTAAAATTTTTAATTTTACATTGTGTGTGTGAAAAAAATTAAAATTGAAAAGTTCAGCATTTCCCTCTCTGTGCAGGATTATAACCAACATTAGCATTTTTATATTCCTCCACATGTTTAGTTCTTTTATATACTGCATCCCTTAAGGACATAGTCAATCATGGCTCTCCACAACTTCTTATCCCTTGTGGCCCTTTTGCTAAGGCTTCTAACCCCTGTTGCACCATCCATTCACACAAGTTTGTCAGATAACTGGCTCACTTAATTCACCTCTCTATCTTGCCCTGTGAAGGTTAAGTTTTCCAAAACTTCGTTATCCGTCCAAGGAATTTCACGTGTCTTTTCCTGATTGTGAGTATAAGTCTTCTTTCTGCTGCCATTTTCTTTAAGACTTCCTTGTTTTTTTTACTTGCTCCATCCATGTTTAGTTGCATCAACATAAACATCACTTTAGTCCAATGAAGTCCTAAAAGGATGAAATGTATCATTAATTTTCTTGAAAATATAGCTTTAAAGTCTGCTATATTTATGGGTTAAAATGCTCAATATCATGGATTGAGCATATGTAAATATAAAAGGGCACATTGAGGTCAACAGCAAATGGAGACAGTCTGTTGAATGGAATCTTCAAGCCTGAAGATTGCATTCAAGCATAAAAAGTCTCTTTAAACTGTGTGAGTGTGAGTGTATGTATGTGTGTGTGTGTATATATATATATATATATATATATATATAACTCAAGGAGGCATGGTGGAGTAATGGATAGCAGCTCAGATTGAAGAGATGAGTTCGAATTCCAGTCAGATCCATTACATTCACTTACATGCTAATACCGTTGGGAAAGGGTATGAATCCTTCTATTCTCCTCCAAGCTATGGATAAATAGCAGGATAGACCAATTTCTATAGCCTTGAGTGGCAACCGGTCTAGGAGAAGGAAAAACTGAATTCAAAACCAGCCTGGAGAGGGTTGGGTTCCGTCTTGCCCAAGAAACACCACTTCTACTATGGCTACAGTACTCACAATGCCCCTATGAGTCATAGGATAATAAAAAAAAAAACAAACAAATATTACTTACTTTGGCAGAGAATTATCTGTAGAAAGTTATTAAAAATTATATAAATTTCAAGTGTTTACTAACAGCTGACTAGTTATAACTGGAAAAACAGGTTTCACAATACAAAATACTATATTTTGCCACCAATATCTCAATATAAAATAATACACTAGTACAAATGGTAAATCTGTTTTTGTTAGGCGCTCACTCGATATGAACATAGTTTCAGTTGGAATGTGATCATATCTCACAACCTATGCACAATTCAATCAGCACATTTATCGTTATACTATAGATATTCATCAAGTTTCCATTTCATTTACAGAATCTTTATCATGAAGACAAACTACAAAACTTATTTGATTGCTTGGAGAAAGAAAGATTTTAGTATTAAAGATTTATTAGGAGTTAAAAAATGACTACATCAGAGAAACAAATTTTAGGAAAAATTATCTGATAATATAGAACAGCAAGTATCATACATTTTATCAAATAAGAGGTTAGTTTTGACATTTTAGATATGTTTTTTGCCATCAGAATTGAAACACAGCCTTTAGAAGCAACAACCCATTACACTAACCACCAAACTACTAACAATTTTCTAATTCATTGAGACTTATAGATAAAATCAACAATATAAGTATGAGAACAGAAATTCCCATTACAGTAAATTAAGCAAAAAAACAGCAATTATAAATAACTAATAAAATATTTCATTACCATCTCAAAGCAGTGAACATAGAAAACTTCTGTTATTATTAATTATAATAATATCTTTGAAGATCTTCAAAAAACTATCAAAATACAAGGACCTTGAAATCAAAATCTCAAAAATGTAGCACATGAAAACATCAACAATCCCTGTTACAGTTAGAGCCCTCAGACTGATTGGAAAAGATTCCAATAGACTCATTGAAGGGATTCCTGGCAGCCCATACCTTAAAGAAATACAAAAAAATTTTCTCACGAATACAGCCCATACCTTATGAAGGGCTTTATCTATGTAACATGTGCATGTGTGTGTATGTGTATGTGTGTGTTTTTTAATTGCTCAGTGGAAAAGCAACAGGACCCGGAAAGAAATGAGTACACACCAGAAATCAAAGGAAAATAATAACAACAACAAATTGGTCAATTGCCACTCTCCTAATTATTTGCCATTGTAACACAGCAGTATTAAAAAAGAAAGATATTTAATGTGACTGGTTATATGACAAAGAGTTTGATTCATGCCTTTATACAAGGAATTAACCCCCAAAATGACTCCTACAATTACAACCAAACTCTGGTTTGCAAAGGAATATTTATTTTATTAGTTTAAGAAAATTAATTCCAGTCATTCATGAATGACACCCAAACTACAGAGACAAGAGTGAAGATGTTTCTAGCCAGACACCTTATAGGACATATTTGCCATTCACCACTCAAAGACAAAGAACTACTTTTGTGCATACCATGTCAGGAACCATACACGATTGAGCATGTATTGATAATCTGTAGAAAATTCCAACAAACACAAGCCAAGTACTACAGATCCGATTACCTAAAGCAGGGGTGTCCAAACTTTTTTCAAAGAGGGTCAGATTTGATGGGGTGAATATATGTGAGGGCCAACCATTTTGCTTGGAATTCTTTGAACCATTAAAATGAAAACTCTCTTTGGAAAATTTTATTGCAAATGGCATATTTTCATTTCTTCATATGGATGACAAATAAATTTTAACAAGTCTTACCAAAATCACTCAGCCTGTCATATCTGAATCCCATATATGATGAAGTAAAATATGTCTGAGAAAAAAAGAACTTCCAGGAAGCTATATCTCAGGTTAATCTTAATATTATTGGTAATTAATATTGTCTGTAAACTTTTAAGTTAAAAACATATGAATAGAAACATAACACCAACATTCATCTTATTAAGAAGTAGAAAACATCAAGTGACACAAGTCAAAATGTCCAAATAGATTTATAACTGATTTTGACAAACCCCAAACAAATTCATTTTACTAAGATTTTTTAGAATTTATTCATCTCAGATGACCAAAAGAAATAATTTGCTTGCATTAATGTGACGGGTGATACTGAGATGTAGACTGCAGTATATAGGCCAGGTTTAGTTTAAAGGCAGTGATTTTAGAAATTGGTTAGAAAAAGCTAGGGTCAGGGTCACACTGCCAGAGGGCAGCCACACAGTGCTGCTACTGCCATCTTTTGGTAAAATATGAAATTACATTTCTTAGGTGTGTACTTTACATTCTCTGATTGACAATACTGGTAGGCTATAAATGATATATTTTATGACAGAGTATGGGGGTCATATGAAATTTGACTCTGGGCTGTAATTGGACCCCAGGTTGGACTTTGGACATGCCTGACCTAAACAAACATACAGAACTAAGTGAGATTTTGCAGTTCAGAAAGGAGATTGGCATTTATAATAGAATAGGGTCAGTGCATATTATCCCTGATCCCTACCATGTGATCCGAGGGGGGGTAACACTTTGAGGTCCTTGCTATTTAAACATTTGTTTTTTTTTTCTCCCTACATTTATATACATTAGAAATTAAACTAAGCACAACTGGTTATTAAAGGATGAAAAATTTTCAGATTTTGACATCATTCTGTTTTGTTTTGTCCAAATGCATCAATTTATTTTGCTCATTGCTCAGATCTCAAAAAACATAAGTTATAAAATTTTTTTTATACATAATGTATTAAAATTATTTAACTTTTCTTTTTCACAAGAAAAATCTCAAGTTGACGTTAAAACTTGCTACAAAATATTGTTACAGTAGTCCACCGCTATTAGATGAACCAGTTTACCGCGGATGGGTGGTGGACCCCCAACATTTTGCTCTCGTACCCTCAATATGACTCACTTTTTTAGAAATTCCACCCTATTTTACCAATTTCTGGGCCATCCTCTTCACAATAGACAGAACAAACAGCGATCATCAGATGGGTCCTAATATGTTTTAATAATTACACCCTTTTTTTTTTTTCTTTTTTTACATGTTTTACCTTGTTTATGGTGATCAAACAGCCCAAATTTTTCAACATTTTAACACTGCAGCTGTTTTGCATCTAATCCAATTAGATACTTAGCAAAATATACTTAGTGCGGGGCTTAAAAAGTAAATTACCGAAAATTTCTTATGGAATCATTGGCATAAATTAGTATAATTTTTTTAAGGATCTTTTTGAGCCATTATCTACAGTATATATCACAAAATAGGGCAAATAGGGCCCCACAATCAGGTAGGTGTTACATAGTTTAACCTGTAACACAGGGGAGAACCGCAGGTAGTGAAACAGATATTGGCGCAAAAGGTGTAATTGGTGAGCAGAGTTCAAATTCTGCTCTATTTGCTTGTATTCACATTTGCACAAAAGAACTTGAGAAAGGCATGAGTCTATATCTTCCCCTACCCTCACTTTGGGTTTAATCTTTTAATTCCAAACCATGGAGAAAGCAAAGGGAAACCACTCAATTATCTTTACCCAAGAAGGCATGACAATTCCAGATAATAATAATAAAAGGAATCTGTGGAGAGCCATGATCGGCTACAGCCTGCTTACTATATGTAAATCTATATATAATTTCTACATTTTTTGATTTTTCCCTACTGGAAGAAGAAAATGTTTCAACCCCAGCCCACCTATCTCCTATAAACTATCAAATATAATATTTTTAAAATAAATGTATTAGATTGGTGGCAAGGTCTCATCATTTTACAGTTGAAATGGCTAGATATAACCCTAAATTCTTCTCTAACAGTTTATTTAGTACTTCTCGTTTTCCAGTCAACTTTGATTTTCAAAAATTTAAATGCAATGTCAATCATTAATTTATATCTTCCTAATTCCTCTTCTTTTATTGTTCTTTCTCCTTAATAATATTTTCTTTTTCTCATATTCTTGCATATTGCTGCATTGCCTTGCTTGGGATAAAATGATAATATTTAAAAAAAAAAAAAAAAAAAAAAAAAAGGTGCAAAAATTTAACAAAGCAATAAGGGAAAAAAAGGGGGGGAAAAAAAGAAAGGAAAAGGGGGAAAAAAAGAAAGGAAAAGGAGGGAAAAAAAAAGGAAAAGGAGGAAAAAAAAAAGGAAAGGGAGGAAAAAAAGAAAGGAAAAGGGGGGAAAAGAAAGGAAAAGGGGGGGGAAAAGAAAGGAAAGGGGAAAAAAGAAAGGAAAAGGGGAAAAAAAGAAAGGAAAAGGGGGGGAAAAAAGAAAGGAAAAGGGGGGAGAAAAAAAAGAAAGGAAAAGAGGAAAAAAAAAGAAAGGAAAAGGGGAAAAAAAAAGAGAGTAAGTGGTAGTTCTATTACAAAGACACCAATTCTCTTGTAGTTATCACATGAAAAAAATTGCTTTTGTCAACATTAGGGAAAATATAGTCATTGTTTGGTATTGAAAAAAAAAATACAATTAGAAATAAATTTCATCACATTCAAAACAACCAGCACTGAAAAAGAAAAGATATTTGCATTTTCTATATGCATACAAAATTGTTAAAAGGTTTCACTGATTTTGATTAATATTTGAGATTTTTTTAGTAATTCATTTTTCTAATCAAAAAGAAAAACAATTCTTATTGGATAAGTTATCTAATAAAAAAAATTAGCAAATACAATTTTTAAATAAAAATAATTTTTTAAAGTAAGTGATAAGAATGTAGGTATAATTATTTTGCTTTAAAAAGTCTGTCTTTAACGTAAAAATTAATCTATTAAAAATATTGATTGTAAATTGTAAACATTTCAAAAGATATGTCATTTTAAGAAAAAAAAAACAAAAAAAAAAAACTTTAATCAGATATAAAGTATATTTTAAATTTAGAAAGTTTAGAAAAGAAAGTTTAAAAATAGTTTAAATAAAAAAAAAATAGTTAAAACCTGAGGATGTATAAAAATAAATTTCAAAGATTATTCCAGATTAATCCTTTGCTAAGTTAGAATAAAATCTGGATATTGAATTATTTAATTTTTAAGTGTTTGAGGTCAAGAGGAATAATCTTATTAAGAACCTTTAATTTTTTTCAGAGTTCAAAGCAATAACTAAATGACATGAAGACATTTTTACTGAAATTACAGTAATCAAGACTAAGAGTTCGTATTCAGTTTTCAAAATTAATTTATTTGGATTATACACTGGTTTACATTTTAATTTTCCATCATTTCAGATGATGCAGTTTTCAAATTGTAGAGCTTCATCATTCAAACTCAAGTGCTATTTGCACTGACATCAGTAGCCATTAGCCATATGCCAAAATAACTTGGTCCGTCACGAGGCACAAGTCGTAGCCAGATCAGAAAACAGCAGCTATTTGGGTGCATAAAAATATTTTTATCCACATCAGAAACCAGGAGCAATCAACCATAACCACATAAGAAACCAGCAATAGCCACTATGTCAAAATAGCTTGAGCTACATGATCTTTGAAATACCCAAGAAGCAATCCAAATACCAAATCTCAGACAATGTTATGGATATATATTGAATAAAGCACCCTATAGTAAAAAAATAAAATGTACAGTCTGAAAAGCAGGCCTCCAACAATTTTGATAGTAATTATCCAAACTTATCCAAACTGAAGTGACAACTTAAAACTAAAAAAAAAAAAAAAAATAGAATAAAAAAAAAAGAAAAAAAAAAGATGGTTGTAATACCTTTAGCCCAGCATTTTTTCTTCATATGTTGTTCTTTGAAAATATTGTTGATATATCTAAGCAGGCAACTATGTATTTAATCCTTACAAAAATAAATAAAAAATAGCTTACAAATGAATACAATTTTTTAAATAATATTTTTAACACCAAAAATGTTAAAATATACACGGATACACTAAATGTGTAATAAAGATTTTATTAAGAGATAAATATTAAATTTAAAAATAGTTGATTGGAAAAGAAATGGTAATATATTGATTTCAGCTGATAACTTGAGTTTAAAAGGAAAAAGTTTAAATTTTTTTTGTTCATAAGCCAAGCTATTAAAATATAAAAAATAAATTAAAAAAAAATCTTTAAAATATTTATGAAACCATTTTCATATATAATTTTTAATCAATATTCAGGTTTCAAAGTATCAACTAAAATATTTGTGCTTTTTTTTTTTTTTTTTAAAGTAGTGGTTAGCTTCCTCTTCAGTATAAGACAATTGGTTTTCAGAATCAAAATTAATTGGAGGTAATAAAATAATAATAAACAAGCCAAAACAGAAACAAAAAGGAAAATATTTTTTGATTTGCAAACTACTTAATTGTAATTTCAAAGAAAAAAAAAAACTTAAAATAAAAAATCTCAAAACATTCAAGTCCATTATTCTTATTCTAATTACAAACTTGATGACCTTTGCCCATTATTACTTTTTTAGCAAATTGTGTGACATAGACCAGAAAATAGAGAGGTTCATTAAATATGTTAAAAACCAATCTAGAAAGAAAAAATAAAATTATATATGAAAGAAGATTTAAAATAAGAATGAATTTTAAAAACAGCAATTGTTCATGGCAAACAAACATTTTAAAAGGACTGACACATATGGTCCCTAAGTTACATTCAGGGAATGTTTTACCCTCAATCTTCAAACTGTTAATAAAAAAAAAATGTCATGCATGAAAATTATTGCTAATGGGAGCATAAGAGTTTATTGATCAAATTAAAAATCTATAATTTACTCTCAAAGTTTTCTAATTTATGACCTCAAAAATACTTCAAAATTGTTCTTAAAGATTAAGATTTTAAAGCACTGATCTTATCTTAAACTACTCTTGTTTATTAAAAAAAAAAGTTTATACAGAAAAATTAATTTCAGTTTTTGCTGGTTAATAAAAGAACATTGTCAACCATTGAGAAGGATTATCTCCCCATTTTTTTTAGGCAAAAAATAATTCAACAATGCAAATGTTCAGAAAATATGTCACTGAAATTAAACTAAGAAAAAAAAAATTGTGGGTGGATTTTAAGATGCAATTTGAACAAAATATAGCAGGTATGCTTAACTTTTCCTTTTTTTTTTTTTTTCTCCATTTGTCATTTTTTTTTTCTTTCTTTCACTTACTTTCTTGATATCTAGCATGCCACATCAATACTGTAAGAGAGATCAGCAGTACAACCCAACATCTTTTTTTTTTTTTTTTTTGCCCATGGTATTAGCAGATAGATTTGAAAAAAAAAAATTCCTGTCGTGGAAAAGTCTGGACTATTCAGCCAAGATGGAGGGAAGCTGTGACTTCATCTGTTTGTATTGTTCAAACCTGTTCATAGCATATTCCTGAAAGGAAAGTAGAAAGAAAAAAAAGACATTTTATAATATACCATATTTGTCTATCTTTTCATTTTCTCCTTTATCTCTTCCAATCTACATTGTTCATTCATGCCTTTATCTAAATATTACGTAAAAATGAATAAGTTTCATATGCAAAAATGTGAATTCAAACATTGCATCATCATTTTTTTCTTTTTTTGCTATCTCTCTACCATATGGATAGCGGCTCAGACTGAGGAATCAGAGAGCCAAGTTCTAATTCCAGTCAAATCCATTACATTCACTTACATACTAATACCCTTGGGAAAGGTATGAATCCTCTTCTGCTTTCAGCTATAGGTAAATGGCAGCACAGAACAGGTTCTATAGCCTTAGATGGCAACTGGTCTACTGCAGAAAGAAATGGCAACCTACTGTGGGGAAAAAAACCTGCCTCATCAGTCATGTATTGAAAGATACATGATTGCCAAAGCATTTATCATGCATGGCAGATAACTGACTGACTGAATTTTGATATTCTTAGCATTCTTTTTTGTTATATTCCGTGCTAAGGGAATAAGTACCAGGTGGATAATAGAAGAAAGGTTTATTGTACACAACCATTACAATATGAAATACATTACAGTTATACACACAGGTCAATCTAGTAGCGAGTGCCACAAATTGGAAGGTCGGATGTGCTTGGGTCTTCTCTCTCTCTTCCCTCAAGTCTCATGTAGACAGTTGACTTAATAGGTACTTACTACTTATAGTGTAATCATTCATGGGGGTGACTGGTTATTCCATTACGTCATTTTTACATCCCCTCCTCTTCCCTCCAATTCCTTTCTGCAAGTTGCTTGGATAGAAATCAAATGATTCCAGTCCAGAAGAGCCAAGCTATTGAACAGATACTACACACTGATTCTAGGTTAAGAAAAAGAAAAAAAGAAAAGCCTAATCATACTTATTATAAAACCCAGGTTGTGTGTGTGTGGGGGTGTGTGTGTCTGTTCGTTTATATATTGGATCAGATTTCCTATATTTTTCAACCGATTTCAACAAAACTTCACAGGACTACATAAAATTACCTTGCGGTGATTCTGACAGTGCCAAACATTGGAAAAAACAATTGTTTTTGCATGAAATCAATTTGAAAACATGACAAGGAACGCTTTCGCGAGTGATCGCTTTCACGAGAATGAAAGGGGGACAACTCATATCGAGTTATACTTATTATAAAAACCCAGGTTGTTTGTGTGTGTGTGTGTGTGTGTTCATTTATATATGGGATCGGATTTCCTACATTTTTCAACCGATTTCACTTTTTTTTGGCAGGTAGTGTTTCTTATTGTCTTGCACACTTTTTTTCTTTATTTTTTTACCATTCAGAATGCTTTAAAAATTCCATTTACAAGACAATTGTTTATAATAAAATTCTATTCAATCAGTAGACTAATAATGATTGAAAACAATGTTTTTGTTTGAGTTTGGGCTTGACCAATTCGTAAAAAAAAAAAAAAAAAAAAAAATTAAGACATGCGTGTCCGTCAACCTTAAACAATAATCTTTGTCAATTTTATTTTTCAGTCTTTATGATGGTCGATACTTGATCTATCTCTTGCTGTTACATCCCCGGGCAACGCCGGGCTTTACTGCTAGTGTGTATATAAATAAAAAGAATATTAGTATAAATCAGCCATGTCAAAGATTCTGGATAGAATTTGTTTATTTCATGTTGAAAGAATTTGGGGATCCCAGATAAAAAGAATTCTGATTGTCCTGAATTGATCTCTTCAATATTTTTAAAGGTTTTGTCTATCATTCTATGGCAGGAACACAAAGTCATATTACATAAAAATGAATAAGTTTTCATATGCAAAACAAGAACAATCATTATTAGCAATGATCAAAACCCAGAATGAAACTAATTCTTTTATTCCTTGTTGAAAAAAAAAAAACTGTAGTATGTTCAAGTAATGTGATTAAATGAAAATTTGTCACCTTTAAATCCAGATGCTGGAAGTACAATTAAAATTTTATCTTCTTTGATTAAATTACTTAGTGAAGACATGGACTAATTTAAAAACAAAATGAAAGTATCTTTTTTGCATACACATTTTTGACAAGAACATGAATATATATTGAAAGATTTTTCCAATATTTTTTTTTTTTTTAATCTTTTTCAGATTTGAAAACATATCATTGTCAACAATACTTTGTGTGTACAAACAAATCTTATTTTTGTCTTTGAGGTAGTTCCTTGTCATTCTAAAGCAAGTTTTCTGATTTTGTCTCTAGAATTTATTTGAACAGATAAAAAAAAAAATTAAAAAGTAAGAATAAATTTTTTTGAAATATTTAATATTTTAAAATATTTTTTTTTTAAATATTTAACATACTTTTTTTAATATTTTTTAAATTTTAATATTTTTCTTTTTTAATTTTTAATATTTTCTATAGTTTTGTAATTTAAATTTTTTTTATTTTTTAATACTTTTAAAAATTTTTTAGTTTTTAAATTTTTAATACTTTCAAGAATTTTTTTTTTAATAAAAAATATTAAAAATAATAAATACTAAAAATAAAAATTAGTGTTAAAATATTTATATAAAAAAAATAAAAACAAAAATTTATATAAATGTCAAATGTGCAAGAGATCTCAAAGTAGATGAAAGAATAAAATGTTTCTTCCCTTTTTCCACAATTTACTTTTACAAGCATTTTACTTACCAAATACCCAAAGTTGATTTCTGATGTTCTTGACTGCACAAGGGACCACAAGCCCCACATATAATGTGATGCCAAGGTAAAAGAGTTTGCCTCAATATACAATCTTTGCAGGTCTTTTTCTGTGGTTTCTGTTTTACTGTGTGTAGAAAGGTAGGCTTCAAAAAATTCATACTGAAATAAAAGAGCATTTTTTTAACATTTACTAAGTGTCAAGAAATGGTACAATTTAGAGAAAAAGGAATGGACATATTTAAAAATTTATGTAAGAGATTAGCCACTTCCTTACAAGGAAATATTTGGCATTCATTTAGAGTTATTATCAGTTGAAATTTATAAAATTTCTTAAAGCAGTTTTTCAGGAAAATAGGTTTCTCAAGTGCACTGTTATCATTCTTTCTAGTATTGATGGGAGTTTCCATCTTAACCTTTTGTTTAAGATGGTGTGGAAAGTCAATATCTTGATTATGTCATTTTCTCTTCTAAAGTATTTCAATTACCTTTAACATTAATTTGTTTAAATTTAATTCAAATCTGGAGTAGTCTTATAAAAACGGATTGGTTTGTTTTACGGCATATCAATCTCAATGGGTTTTTTAATGCTGACAACATTTTTATTGCTGGTAATATATTTTTTTTTTTTTCAAAAATGTATTGTTGGCATTATTTTTTTTTTCCTTCAAAAATACATTTCTGGAAATATTTTTTCTTCAAAAATATATTGCTGGTAATTTTTTTTCCTCAAAAATGTATTGCTGATTATAATTTTTTTTACAAAGTATTTCTGGTATTAAAACCTATTTTTACACTTTCATAGTGCTTTGACCCCAGTTTCGGGGTTAACTATTTATCCATAGCTGGGACCCTAACAGGTGCTACCACCCCAGGTCAGGATGGATCTGGAAACACCAGCAACTAAGAGGTGGTTCCATGCTCCTCAAAACCTCCTGATCAGAGGCCTTGCTGTTGGACGTAGTTTATCATCTTACCCAGGATGCTGATGTAGTTTATCGTCATACCCAGGACGTATAAAAATGAAAACCATTAACATAATGCTTGGATGCTTGTGATCATATTTATTCTTATTTGTGACACACTCTTCCATATTCTAATGACACTTCTGTTTATTGAAGGAGAGATTGCTAGCATCATGACTCACAAGACTGTATATACACATTTGCCACTTTCTCATATGAAGTCAATGACTGTTAGTCTTCTTAATAATGACATATGCCATGATCTTTTTTTTTTTTTAAATAAAACCTAAGAAATAAGTTTTGAAACAAACAACTCTCTCTCTGTGTTCACAACACAGAAATGAGGTGATCTCGCTATATATCATTTCTCCATCACATTTCACATCATGCAAACTGGTTGTAATCTAGAATAAAATAACGTTTTGAAGATTTTGGAATGATGAGTAATTTTCAATATTGTTGTATTATTTGAAACTTGTTCTCATCTTTGTTGATATTGATGTGTTTATAAACAATGTTTCAACCAAGTATCCTTTGGTCATCAACAAGTGTCTACTGATTAGGATATTGGTTGATAATTGTAATATTCTGTCCTGTGATATCAATTGTTGTTTGTTCCTGCTGAATTGGTGCTTCATGACCAGATCCAAGGATTGAACTCAAGACCACTAAATGACAGTAACACACCTATAACCAATTCCTATATCTACTACACCCACATTCCAAAGGGCATTAGCAGTGTGTTTTTGGAGCCTTTTCACAGTCAATGTCCAATAGTTTTGAATTTGGTTATGATGGTGGTGGGGGCTCATACTGCTTTTCATAATTAGATATCCCATATCAGCCAACCAATGGACACCAGATGATGAGCAGAGGCTTCTTCGTCAAAACATTGTACCTATGATAACATCAATAAAGATAAAAACAATAGTTTGAAATAATTATTTGTTAATGTCTAAAACTAACGACTATGCAAACATTCTCACAGAAGTATTTGTAATTTTAAAATGACAATTTCGGACTAAAATGTCACAGAAGTCTCTTCTCTCTCTCAAATGGAACATTTTAAGGAATATGGAAACAGGTCTCAAATAAGAATGATGATCTACAAGATATTAATTTCATCAAAATAACTTTTTTAAAAAGAGAAAAAAAAAACAAAAAAAACCCCTAAATATTTTGTCATGTTTTCACTATTCAGTTTTTACAATCATCAAATATAATTGATCGGTAGAGACCAGAGCAATTCATATATGTGAGCCAATTAATAACCTGGCATAAGTGGACTATTTTTAAGGACACAGTTTCATATATGTGAACCGATTAATAGCCTGGCATAAGTGGACTATTTTTAAGGACAGTTTCGTTAGAATGTGGGAGATTTAAATAAAAGATAAGTAAAATGTTTTTACAAATCTACATGTATCTTACCTGTTGTTTCTTTTTTGGATAAGCATCATCATAAAAATGAAAATATGGAGGCTCATTCACATCATAATCATAACACCATTCCAAAAAATGGTTGCCAAAATCAAATCCTCTGCAAAGAGATCAAAAACGAAATATTCAGTGCCAACCTCTGGTTCCAAAGCCAATTATTATTTTTTGACAAGTATTCGTTTTATGTCTGTTGTTTTCTATTGAAACTCTCAGATTGAAATTCTGCAGATGTCAGTAATTAGCAGGGAACAAAAATTATTTTTATTTGATTCAGCCCAAACAAGGTTTGTTCCCCCCCACCCAGATAGATTCTTTCCCAAACCATTGCCCATTACTTTTCAGACAATCATCATCATGGTCAGAACTCCATTAATAATCCCATTCCACACTGCTTGGTCCTGTCTTGTTGTCCCCAGATCCCCAATGTCCAACCCTGAGTCCTGAGCCATGGTGTCTGGGAAAGTCAACTTTTGCAAGAAGACACCCCCACAAAGGATGCCAAAAAAGTAAGGATGAGACAATCTTCCTGTCCGCTCGGTGTGAGTGGCCTGCAAACCACAATCACTTTTGTTTGAGCTTAAGAGATATTGGTCTCAGTTCTCTGTAAATTGTGTAAAATGTTGCATGGAATCTCCAACTGATATTCTGGATTTTTTACTAACTGAGCCATCACCATCATTGTCCTTCAACCTTCCTATGGTTGGTTGGAATTCCATTAACAATCCCTTTCTACACTGCTCAGTCATGCATTGTCATCCCAAGATCCAACATGACCAACCCTGAGTCTTGAGCCATGGTGTCTGGGAAAGTCAACTTTCACAAGAAGACACCACCAGAAGGATGCCATAGATGTAAGGATGAGATGACCTCCCTGTCTGCTCAGTGGCAGTGGCTGGCAAACTGCAATCGCTTTTGTTTGAGCTTAAGAGAGATTACTCTCTGTAAATTGTTTTAATGTTGCATGGAATCTCCAACTGATGTTCTGGATTTTTCTAAGCAGATTTGTATATGTTCTAGCCAGTCATCTTTCAAGATGAACAGATAATGTCTGAGTTTCTGATCCGTACAGTAGGACTGGTTCAGTCAGTGTTTGAAAGGTTTGGACTTTTTAAAAGGATGGAATATTCGAGTGCACGATCTTATGAAGCTTGTTATACACATCCTATAACAAAACGTGTTCCCATTTCAAAATCAGTAATTTTGTGTACTATTTAAATATTTGGGTAAACAGGTAGTGTAATGGCTTGAAGGTCAGAATGACCAATTGGTGAGCCAAGTTTGTATTCCAGTTGAAATCCTTAAACTCACTTTTTCACAAATAGCCTTGGTAAATGTTTGGCTCCATCTTTTTTTTTCTCCACTAGCTATGGGTTAGTAGGGTAGACTGGACTTTAGCCAAAGTTGATAAACAGTATAGGAAAAGATAACTAAATTCAAAACTATGTTGCCTGTACTTGGACTGAAACTAAAGTCTGTTCAGTATAGTTGCAGTATAAACTATGACTTGGTTCTGCGGATGTTGTAGAAACACAAATGAGCCTGAGCAAAAACAAGCAGTCAATGCCGAAGATGAGTAATAATTAAAAACTCTACATATACAACTGGTTAGACTTACTTTTAGTCATTTCTCGATTGAATGTTAATGCAGTACAATATGTTTAATTATAAAAAGAAACAAGTACCCACCGATAATTATATGCACAATACTCCCAGTCGATCACAGTCAACTTTTTAGAAGGGTCTGCACAAACATCTAACCATAACACATTTCCTGAAAAGAGAAAAAACAATGGCCATTAATAAAAAGAAATTACTTATTGCTTTAACAGATATTTATTAGGTAGATGTAAGAATTTGCACTATCATCATTTACAAAATGTTAGGGACATCTTAGAAGTGTATAGTGTTTACTAAGTCGTACTACAGTTGATTGATTTCCAAGGCTTAAAAATGATGCAAACTCCTGTCTTGTAAAAATTATAGTTAGTTGGGAGAGTCCATCATGCATAAAGTAGGGAGTTACTTTTCAATCACCTTGTATAGTGTATGATTCTGAATGTAAATTTACCATAGACAAAAATAAATAAATATACTGTTTAATATATAAACAGTGTGTTCACTCAAATATGAGTATCTAGTAAAAATAACATTTAAAGTGATAAAAATCTGTCAGATTAACAAAAGCCCATCCTAAAAATTCTCTTGGGTATGAAACTATGTGAAGATATAAAAAACTTCAAGAGATATAGGATAGGAGAAGTTTTGCTTGAAAGCACAAAATTGGCTTCACTTTCACCCTTCATGGCCAAGCGATAAGGCATGCTAGGCTAAACGGTGGCAGCTTATACCTGAATGATGCAGGTTTGATTCCTGCTGAAGAGCACAAATTCTTCTTTAATAAGATATCATGTATATTCAGGCCGGTAGGTGAAAATAAATAAATATACTACTTAATAACTATACGGACAGCCTACTCGAATATGAGCATTCACTAAAAATAGCATTTAAAGTGATATTTTGCTTATTTTATTCTGATGTTGAATGGAGAAAGAGAATGAATAAAAAGGACTGATTTTTCTTTATTTCAAATCATCTGATCACTTCCAACAATGTGGGTTACAGTGCCCTCATTTGAAGGCATTGTTGGATGAAATGCAAGAAAATTGAATCTGAATGTTGGAAGAAATCTTTACTGGCCATTTTGTTTCAGAGTTCTTAGACAAAGGCAACCAGTAGAAAATTGGATTGAAAGCTCAATACTACTAATTTACTCATTAGTAGCCCAGCTTAATTTACAAAGTAGCCCCCAAAGGTTGCAAATAGTAAAATGAAAAAAATGATTAGTATCTGGAAATCCTGGTTTTGCAGGCCAGACTCACATCAACACCCAATCAAATTAAGATGATTGCAGGCACATTTTCTGCATCTAATCACAATAACATTGATGAGAAAAACATTTTTTAAAAATTTATGTCTTCAACATAATGTTAAGATTTTTTTGAAAATTTAACTTCAATACATAAATTTCCCAGTCAACCATAATTGTTGGAAGTTAAAGCTTTAAAAAGGAATTACCCCCCCCAACCCCATTCAGTCAGTTATGTACCATGCGTGATACACGCTTAGGCGATCATATAGCTTTTGATACATGACTGACGAGGCAGATTCCCCCCCCCCCCCAAGCAATAGGTTGCCATTTCTTTTTGCAGTAGACCAGTTGCCATCCAAGGCTATAGAACCCTGTCTGTCCTGCTATTTACCCATAGCTGGGGGGGAGGAAGTGGATTCATACCTTTCCCAAGGGTATTAGCACATAAGTGAATATAATGGATTTAAATTTGAACTCAGCTCTCAGATTCCTCAATCTGAGCCGCTATCCATTACTCCACCATTGTATAACTCTTAATATGATCATCATGCCTTATTTTTTGGAAATTGGTTTCTCAAAGAAATTTTTTTTAACTATATCAATATATTTAAATTAATGTAATATTCATTCCAAAATGAGAGTTCCTTTTAATGTTTCTATATTTGTCATAAGATAAAGAACTATGTTCTAAAGTGGGTTGCTCAAAAGATTATAGAGAAATTATTAATGATTTTGATCTATCTAGATAAAAAGCAGTAAATTATGAATGCAGTTTTCTTCACATATAAAAATCTCCAAGAACCTTCCCTAAAAAGCAAAAGACATATCCAAAAGGTAAGATAGAGAAAGATTTGGCAACCAAGCACTTGTAATATAGAGGTTTGTAGTCTGGTTTCAAAAGCCATTAATAGTTAGCACCTTATAAAGTGGACAAGAAATGTAACCAAATCAATATGTAAATGTAAATTGTCAGAATAGAAATTTGAATGATTACCTTATTTGATGGCATATAAGGCACTTGTTTTTTACTAAAAATATCTTTTAAAATTTCCCTGTATCTTATGTCACATGTATGTTTACTAATTTTACTAATTATTAATTTTTAATTTCTTATATGCCATCAAATATCGTAATCTTAAAAATGCAATGCATACAAAGAAATTGCAATTAAATTTTTAACATAAATTTTTTTTTTTTTTAATTGGTATGGCTTTAAGAACTTTTCTAAATGTAAAAGCAATCTTACCTTCTTGCAAATCATTATGACAAAACACAACAGGAGAATTCAGTTTTTCGAGGCTATCCCTGAAAGAAACAACATTATTTAATGTTCTAACAAATACAATCAACTTGTGTAAGGTTTCAATTGTCTGAAATTTTTTTCAGTAAACCATTTTAAATCATTCTCGATCGCTAATCCTAATTAATTTTCTCATCTTTATTTTATTTTTATCTTTTTTTAAATATGCATACTTTCAGTTGTATACTGCTCCTGCCTTTCTGAGATATTCCTTAACACAAACTATCTTAGAATCTTGCCCTGAGGGAGAGTGTATTTCTTCCCACTTCTACAAGAAATACAAAATGTCCAGATATAATGTGTATGATAGGAGAACAGGGTTCCTTAATGTTCCAGAATATAAAACACTTGAGGATGGTTGGAGGATGCATAGCCAAAAAATAAAGAAAACAAATATCTGAACAAAAAACATCTACTGGTTTCAGTTTGAAATTAATACATCGGTCTTAATTAAAAAAAAAAAAATTAAAAATTGCAGGATTTTTTTTTAAGATAAAGTTTAGTCTTTCTAAATATAAAAGCAATCTATTTTAGTCCCCCCCCCGTCTGCTCATGCTACAGTTACACTTATTTCAAATATCTGTTCTAGTGTATGAAAAAGATTTTTTTTTGTAATCATTTCACCCCAAACAATGCAATAAAGCCACTAAGATGCAAGGGAGTTACAGAGTGTGAAAGAATGAGAAAAAGACTATTTAGGAGAGAAAACAATAAAAGGACAGAAATTAAGAAGATAATTATTTGTATTGCATTTAAATAGAATACTAATGGCTAGGAATCATTTTTCCTCATCTTTTTATTCATTGCTTTAAAAGTTGAAATAAAAAACCTATTGCACTGAAAAGATGAAAGAACAGAAAGGTCAGTAACGTTAACTAAGGTTTTATTGATATTTATTGTATAAAAATATAAAATTATGGCACAAGGCTGAAAAAAAGGGTAATGGGTTGGGGCTTCACTATGTCATATCAAGCTAATCCGATTCCTGACCCATTCACTCATTATAATTTGAACATTCACCACAAGAACTCATCTGTAACCAATCAATCCTTCATATACCATGATACCACACACTCTCAGGGAACCTAACAGACGCATCCCATGACACAAAAATTTGATGATTATAAAAAATTTATACATAATTTTATACATAAAAATCTATGGATGATTTACAATGAGAGGGGAAGGGATGAACCCAAAAACAAACTATCAAAACAAACTATCAAAACAAACTATCAAAACAAACTATCAAAACAAACTATCAAAACAAACTATCAAAACAAACTATCAAAACAAACTATCAAAACAAACTATCAAAACAAACTATCAAAACAAACTATCAAAACAAACTATCAAAACAAACTATCAAAACAAACTATCAAAACAAACTATCAAAACAAACTATCAAAACAAACTAAAATATCAAAACAAACTAAAATATCAAAACAAACTAAAATATCAAAACAAACTAAAATATCAAAACAAACTAAAATATCAAAACAAACTAAAATATCAAAACAAACTAAAATATCAAAACAAACTAAAATATCAAAACAAACTAAACTGATGTTAGTAGGTCTCGTCCAGACCTCAAAAAAAAAGACAGGCAGCTGTGTTCTGCCCTTAGACAAAATCAAGAGGCTCTCTCACTACAGGAGGGGGAAAGGAGAAAATAAATATGAACAAGGGGAGTAAAGAATGCTGACCCAGTTGAGATGAAAAGTAGGGCCAAAAACAAACTGGGGAGGTTGAGAATCTCAACTTGGATCATAACCAAAGATGCAGCCGGTAGCAGGCCAGGAACAACACTTACTCACATTAACTAGGTACACAAAGCTTGTCTATCCTAACCAAGAGAGGGCTCCACAGGAAACTAATTTGATGCGAATTAGGTAGACCTAAAAAAGAAAATCAAAGCTAGTCTATTCCAATCTCGAGTAGGGGGCGTAGAGTAATTCACCTACAAGGTATTTCTATATTCCTAAACTGAAAAGTTATCGATATTATCTTATAGGGCAGTAATTTTCGTTACATCATTTTCACTAATAGTTAATACTCGTTCTTCAACAAAACTGTAAGGCAAAAACAATTATTCAAATCTTGTATAGGCACATTTTTTAATTATTGGATGAATGTTGGAATATAACATTAAAATAGAAAAATAAGTCATGGGTTTTGATGAATTTATAGAACATACGAAAGCCATGTAGAGAATGTTGTGGCAATGGAAAGCTTTATCATTTTATGCCTCCTGCTACATTTGTCCCACAAACAATATTTGGCAAACACATTTGAGTCTAGGTAAAAAAAAAGGATAAAAAACATGGAATTCAAACAAACAATTCATAAATGTATTAACCAAACATCTTACAGAAGAATAAAGAAAGAAACAAAGTTGAAGTTACAAAAAGTTCAGTACAATCTTCAGTCTGTGTCTCTTCAGAGACACAGATGCCTCATGTCTCAGAGTGAAAGGAAACATGTTGCTCCAAAAGTCAAAGAGGAAGATCCTTTCAAATATTACCCTGCCTGTGATTATTTGGATGGGGGCAGTAATCCAACAAGCTAAATAGGTTTCAAATAAAAATCCTTAGTGTTCAAGTTTGAGTTGGAATAAAATTTTTAAAAATAAATAAAAATGTATTTAATTCTCTGCAATGTACCAGTTACTTATATTCTCTCCTCCTTGACCCTCAAATGAAATGAAACAAAGTATAAATACTTACAAAAGATCAATCATTTCCTTCTCTAGATTCTTGGGTAAAGACTTCCGAAGTTTTTCATTCTTAATTAAGCCATTGCAAAGGAACGCTTCTTTCACTTCATTCAGCCACCTAAGAAGGAAACAAAAGGGAGTTTATTTACAGACAGAAACAGTAGAACATTCAACAATTGTGTAACATGAAAAATCATGGAACATGAAATTTTTTTTCCACTTTGTCACCCACTCCCCCCAAAATTGTTCATGATATATAATAATTTATGTTTTCCCGTGTAGATGAAATTGTTAAAAGACATTATCTACCAGGTTTCAAGATTCACAGGTATACCACTTGTCAGTGTCAGATAATTTTCTGATGAGCAGTGTATCTGTTAAACTCCAAGCCAGATAAGTCTTTTGAACTTTTGTTTGTTTATTTTATAATAGTGAGCACATTATTTACAAAAATTCTGCACGCCTTTAAATACGTTGAACTTCAATAAGTGCTCTGTTAGGCATTAATGATTGGTGGTGTTATTGTTTTTTTTTATATATATATTATTTTTCAAAACAAGTTTTATCCCTAATAGAGTGATTTGCCAAAATTTAGTTCAACACACACACACACACACACATCAACATATCACAAATAAGCAAAATAATAACATAAGACAAATTTTAGTAGATAGCACTGAAATATTATATTGGACTCAGCACAAAGAAAGGCTGAAAATTTTGGAAGCCATTGTAATACCAGAGAAGTAACCTACATTAAATAAGGTATCTTTCTTCAGAGGAGATTGTTTATTGAAGTGTGTGTGTATATATATATATATATATATATATATATATATATATATATATATATATATATATGTTATGAAAAACTTGGTAATCCGTATGGGTAGACCCAAGGAGGATGAAATCCTGAGAGCTCAATGTAAATCCAGACCTAATATTTTAAAGAAAAACAGACCACTCCAAAAGTTCCATTATAATAATTTATTTGATCAGACGCCCTTTAAAAGGGCTCTGGATGAAATAAATTATTATAACTGGAAAACCTTTTTAAAGTGGTCTGTTTTTTCTTAAAATATATATATATATATATATATATATATATATATATATATATATATATATATATATATATATATATATATAAAATGCTCATAAAATTCAGTGTGACTGTTTAACTTTGGAAAGTAAACTTACATAAAACAACTTTATTGGAAGTTAGAAAAACTAAATAAAAAGTTTGACAGACTTTGTCAGAATTGTTTAATAAAACTTGTTTGAAAAAATTCTTTCTGCCTAAATAGAGGGGGCAGCAAAAGTGTATATACAGTAAGTATTATACCAGTGGTTCTAGGATTTGTTTGGGCACACATTTTGTTTTTCATTACTGTATACTACTTCAACGTGTGTGTGTGTGTGTGTGTGTGTAAAATAGGATACAGAATCCAATGTTTGAAAAATATGAAAAATGAGAAAACAGTTTCATTAAAACTAGATGTGTTTTGCCGTTACCAGGTTTCATCAAAAAGGAAATAAAGATTTGTGTTTGTGTATGTTTAAATAATGGTTAGTATTTCTTCTGCTAAGCTGGCATTTCTCATAATGAAAAAGAAAAGAATGAAATTGTATGACTTTTGTAAAAATGCCATTAACATTTATTCTGTATCTTTTCTTTACAATTTTCTTGTCCTTGTTGAAATCTATTTATATATTCTCCCAGCTTTGCTGCACTGAATTTAAGGTAAATGTTCATAATCCTATTTTCAGAATATTATTATTTAAGTATACACATTTCTTTTATTTTTGATATTATGAAGCCTGGAAAGGGTTTATAAGAAATGGGTGATTGCTTTTTTTTTGAGTTCACTTGACTCTAGGGTAGCTGGCTCATCCCCATTGCAGATACCTACTCAGGCACATTTGTGTTTTGTCAAGGCTTACAGAATCAAACTGTGGTTTATACAGCAACCATGATGAGCGAATCTTAGTTACAGCTTCTAAGAGAGAGAGATTGCATAATCTGGTGTATCATCAGTTGAAAGAATATACTTGAACCTGCAGAAACAATGACTGATGATTTCAAAATAACGACTATTGACAGCTTTCAATCTGTTTTGTCTGCCCAACTTCTATCATCATTTGGTCATCTTGTAGTATGGCTCAGACATAATTGTGTACATACACTTCATGAAAAATCCTAAATTAATTTAGCAATATATTTGCTGTTTCATATATTTTAACTATTCTCAATTTATTTGATTGCCTGACATAATTTCAGTTGCACAACCAATTAACAGCAGTTAACAAGTAAGAATAAATTTAAGAAACTGAAAATTTACAATCTAACCCTCAAAGCTGATTTAGTAGAAGGTTCAATTGCTTCTAGTCAGTGAAATGTTGCCCCAGTTCACATTCAAAGAATAGGCCAAATTAAAAAGAGCAACCAGAATAGAGAGACTAATAAGACTAGCAGAAATATTTGATAATCATTAGGTTTGTGGAGATTTGCCAGGATATTCTTAGTGTTTATTTACTGAAAACTGACTCAAGAGTATAAAATAATATATTTTTATTTATTTGATTTAAAGAGAGTCCTTTGATATTTGGTGTAGCAAAATGTTCATTTATAAAGGTGGATATTGGTAGCAGTCTGAAGAAAGTCCATCTTGGTTTGAAAGCGAGTAATTTCAACTGTTGAGAAGTTAGAACTTGATAGTAGTCATTTTAGAAATAGGTCAGTGCCAATGTGTTTTTCTCAGTCCTAAGAATAGCAGAAAATATCATTAGCAAATGACCTTTTAACTACTTCATGCATCACGCATAGCTGGTTTCTCTGACAGTTGCATCTCTTGTCCCATGGTTTCCCTTGCCATTCCTTCTGCTCTAGTTCAGAGCTGTGAGTTTATATCCTCTTGACCAGGTTCCTAGACTCTGGTGAGAACTTTGGTATTGGCTAACATTAAAAGTTTCTTTGTGTTAAGTTTTTGGTTTGTCCAAAATTAATTATTTTCTTTTTCATTTTTTTTTTTTTTTAATACAGCAGAAAATACGTGTCAAGCCTGTCATATTTCGGTAAATTTACAGTCATAAATAAGTAGGCTCTGGTCCCCTTAAATGTTTAGCATTTTTCAACCACATTCAGTCTTTTCTCCTTCCTTTTTATTTGAGAATTACCTTCTCATTAGTTGAGCAAGAGGTATATATATAGAGAGATATATATATATATATATATATATATATATAAGGGTTTTAAAGAAAAGCAATTGCCTTATTTTAATTGTAATTTTTATTTATATATTTTATTTTCATATTTTACTTTATTTTTTTCTCGGGACTCACTACAGGTTATAAAATAGATTTAAATATCAAAGGTCTTTTCTTTAACATAAAACAAATTTAAAATGTCTATTAGGAAATTAAAAATGAGAAGGAGAGAGAAACAAAAAAAAGGTGGAACTTTAAAAGAATACTGGCTGATAGAAACCAAATTTGCATTTCTCATTAAGCAAATACTTAGAAAGCTAGTGTTGTGTTCCGTGGTGTCTCGGGATCCCCCATGCTATTAAGAAAAACGGTATCAACGAAAAGGGTCATTTAGTTTTGGTATTCATTTTATTAACCCTGGCAGTTTAGATTCTAAAAGGCAGTAGTAGGACTGATGTGGAAGGAACACATGTCACACATTGGCTTAGCATCTGTGGGTGGTATTAGCCAGTTGCAAACCTGGGTGTAGGAGGTATATCAATGTGTCAGAATTCTCAAGACTCTCTGTTGAATTTGTGCTTTTTTTGACTTATATACAGAGCCCAGACAAGGGCAACCCATCACTGTCAGAATGCCCTGCCCATGAGCCACACAGACCATTCTGGCCCTAGCTTTCACATTCTGTAACACTAGTTTTACAAGTAATTGTTACCAAGTTTAATCCTTACTGCATGCCCTACTGTGTTGACACCTTAAGGGGGTTAAAGGATGGATCAATAAACATACTGAGGGGCAATAAAGTCAAAGTGTTGGTTTTTTTTGTTTTATTTACATAAACTATATGGCCAAAGTTGTCAGCACATTGAGCAAATGAGTCGACTTCAACAGTGTAAGGGACGCAACTCTTTCCGTCTGAAAATGTCTGACATGCTGCAACGCAAAGCAGTGTACACCAAACACTGGTGTAATGCTGTTCTGCCAATTTCTCCAAGCAACCTGCTTTTATGGAGCCCAGACACACCTCATTAGCATGTGTGTAACGCGACTTTGCGTGACTGCACGAGACCGTGAATATTAAAAGTCATGGACGCCATCTTGGATCTTTTCTTTCCCAACCCACAGGCGAGGCAGACGCGAGGGCGTTTGTGAGGTAAACCATTTCTATTTTCCCCACACCAAAGAGTAGAGATATGAAGGTATCTAAAGACTAAGTCCAGAATGGCCTAGGTAGAACACCAAGGGAGGCAGAGGAATGGCCTAGGTAGAACACCAAGGGAGGCAGAGGAATGGCCTAGGTAGAACACCAAGGGAGGCAGAGGAATGGCCTAGCTAGAACACCAAGGGAGGCAGAGGAATGGCCTAGCTAGAACACCAAGGGGAGGCAGAGGAATGGCCTAGCTAGAACACCAAGGGAGGCAGAGGAATGGCCTAGCTAGAACACCAAGGGAGGCAGAGGAATGGCCTAGCTAGAACACCAAGGGAGGCAGAGGAATGGCCTAGCTAGAACACCAAGGGAGGCAGAGGAATGGCCTAGCTAGAACACCAAGGGAGGCAGAGGAATGGCCTAGCTAGAACACCAAGGGAGGCAGAGGAATGGCCTAGCTAGAACACCAAGGGGAGGCAGAGGAATGGCCTAGCTAGAACACCAAGGGAAGCAGAGGAATGGCCTAGCTAGAACACCAGGGAGGCAGAGGAATGGCCTAGCTAGAACACCAAGGGAGGCAGAGGAATGGCCTAGCTAGAACACCAAGGGAGGCAGAGGAATGGCCTAGCTAGAACACCAAGGGAGGCAGAGGAATGGCCTAGCTAGAACACCAAGGGAGGCAGAGGAATGGCCTAGCTAGAACACCAAGGGAGGCAGAGGAATGGCCTAGCTAGAACACCAAGGGAGGCAGAGGAATTGCCTATTGG